TGGGCGACCCTCGGCATCCCAAACTACGGGAAATATTGCTGCCGCTACAATTAAAAACGGGGTGTTTTTCACAACAACATCAAAATACTTGTGTTGGGTTTGTGCAGTCGGGGTTTTGGTAGTAGAGGAGGGGCTGCAGGGGTGCCTCCTGTAAGAAGCTACCAGAAGTTCCCCCAGCTCCAGTTCGGATTCGTCTCTGGCCAGGGCCGAGCCCATCAGCACCTCTGTGAATGACATCTTTAAGATGGGACAAAGAAACCTGCACCATGCGGGACCGGCAGTGGAGAGAGGAGTCGGTGTGGGCAGCTGTCTGTGCGGGGCTACCTGCCCCCCCTCCCGCTCATTCCACCCTATTCCACACCCAGGGGTGTGGTGGTGGCTGTGGTTTGGAGCACTGAGGAGCCCCCTGCTCCCAGGGCACCCATGAGGCAGAGCTTGTCCTGCCGGGGCTGCCAGAGTTTGTTGGGCCAGTCAGGCCCAGCATGGCTGCAGCGGAGAGAGGAGTGGGATGTGAAAGAAGCAACTATACAGACTCTAAGGTCGGTGAAGATGGAGCAGGAAGAGGTATGCCAGAGAAGAGATTCCAGTGCAGCCCATGGTGAGATGACAGGCAGCCCCCCTGCCACCTATGGAGATTAATGATGGAGCAGTCTGTGCTGGACCAGGGGTTGTGCCCAAAGAAGGACATGAGTCTGTGGGAAGCCTGTGCTGGGGCAGTCTGCTGGTGAAGGACTGCACCCAGTGGGAGGAACCCATGTCAGACAAAATCATGATGAGCTGCAGCCCATGGGAAGGGACCCCACGCTGGAGCAAGAGTGCGAGGAGTCCTCCCCTGAGAAAGAAGGACACATGGAAACAATGTGTGATGAACAGATTGCAACCCCCTGTTGTGGTTTAGGCTGAAACCAGGACACCCCGTTCTATGTGCCCCTGTGCTGTGAGGGAAGAAGGGAGGGGTAGGGGAAGGTGTTTTTAAGATCTGGCTTGCTTTCTTATTATTGTCTCTGATGTGATTAATAACAAAGTCAATTGATTTTTACCAAATCTGAGTCTGTTTTGCCCATGACCATAATTGGTGAGTGATCCCTCCCTGTCCTTGTCTCGACCCTCCAGCCTTATGCTGTATTTTCTCCTTTCCATCCCATCAGAGGGGAGGAGTGAGTGAGAAGCTGCGTGGTGCTTAGTTGCCGGCTGGCTGAAACTATGACAATACTCAAATTATTAAAAGGATAGTGGTGTAGTGAAAACATGTCATGGATGCATCACTAGTGTGGGCATGGAGCCCGTGGTAAGTTCCTGTCAGGTCAAACTGGCCCTCACTCATCTCTCAGAGACCAGTTAACAGGATTATGGCACCTTTACATGGTATTTCTGTAATTAACGGAAGTAATTTTAGTAATTAACAGAAGATTTCAGGAGCCTGAAAAAATATTTATTTGCATATACTGTAGCACTGAATTTTAATGCACAATTACACTCATCAGTTACTTAATGAAAATAACTGCCGGCTATCCCCATAGCAAAAGTACTGCTTTAACTCTGTTCTAAAATACAGAATTTGAAATTTGTTAATTGCTGTAAGGTTTAAGGTGTATTTTCTGCGATTTTTTAATGTGCTTATGGGAGCAAACTGAGTAGTGTCACAATAACAAGTTTTTGCAAACACACAGAATAATCCCACTGTATTCAGAATCATCCTTTCTAAGATGGATTCTTGTTTTGCTGTGATAGCTTACTTCGGGGATTCCTTTTAATCAGCTATCACTACAAAGCGGTGAACAGTCAATTGCTAATTGCATTTAAAAAGGGTTGGGATGCTTCATATTCCATTGAGTGTGCTAATTGCTCTGACCAAAAGAAATGTAGTTTTTCACTAAATGTTGTATACATTCTGTTTTTCAGGTATCTTTAAATTTACTGTTTATGCAAGTACACAATCTCTTTTTAAAGGTGGCCACAAACATACAAGAAGGACTCCAGTTGATATCGAGCGGCTCTTGGTGTTACAGATTACAGCAGACAGATTTTGAAATACTGACTAATGTAGTAGAGCAGTGCCTGGTCAAGATACTGGGATGTGTTCTAACCGTACATGCCAAAGCAACTTTGAAAGTTTATTTTTGGTCTATAAAATAGCACAAGTCTAGACTGGAAGATGTTGTAATATAGGGATTTCTTAGAGATTAAAACTGCGTGAAGATACAGCTTTTCCTTTTCACCTGCTTTTCAAAACAGGGAACAGGCTATTTTGTTTGCACACACAAAACTCTTCACTAGACATTAAAAGAAAGCACCAAGAAGAAAATCAGTCACAGTTTTAACACCTAGTAGAAATACTGGGTTTTCAGTTGGCACATAGGTCCGTGAGGGGCTTTTGCTGTTCTCTCCAAAGAAGAAATCCAAAGCACTTGTAATAGTGATTATCTTCATATGCAGGCAAGAAACAAGTTGGGCTTTTCAGACTGAAAATGCACTGTTATATTTATAGATGTTCACTAATAACCTTTCACAACTACTGTAGTAAAGATTATAAAACTACAGTTAACTATGTAACATTAACTTTCTTCTATTAACCTTACTTTGCTAAGCCCAGAAACAGCTGACAAACACTTCTGCAGTAATATGATACTCGTTGATGTCAAACGAAGCACAACATGGGCCCCTACATTCAGGACTTAACAACATGAACTACATGCTGTTGTAAAACCTACAGGATGATTTATTTAAATACAAGAAAAGCATTTTCAGTTGCATGGATTAATGTCAGAGCACTTGAGAAGAAGACATGGGAGATGAAACGTTGCCAATAGGATGGATTTGCCTGTGTGAGAGTGAGGCAGCAGGGAAAAAACAGAAATGCAAGAGTACAAGGGAACAGAGGGACAGGGCTGTTAGCAAAACAAACTCGCCAATAGAAAAACAGGATCAGAACTATGAAACATTCAACACCACCAAGAGCTGAAAGCTGCTGTGAAAAAGAAAAAAATTGTTTACAATTAATTTACACTTGCCTTTTTATGTATCTGCAGAACAGAATACTACATGTAGTGGTAGAAAAGGAGAATTACTCTAACTACTCAATTATAGGTAGAGAGGAAGAAACCTAATGACATTTACAGAGTGCATGTATTTTAGGAATAGTAGGAAATAAGCAATCTTTCAGGGTGAAAGAATACATCATATCCATTTTATGTGTTCTGGTAATTCCACAAGGTCTTTATCTGTATTTAAACAAGATTACAGTACAGGTTCTAGAACTGTACCAACATCTCAAGTTATTTATTTTGTTAGAGTGAAAATTACATGTAGTTTTAAAAGCTTGCAAGTGTTTGCTTTCCTACAACACAAGCAAAAATAAAATGTGGTTACGCAAAAGCGTACTCTTTCATGTGCAGTTTGCAATCTTTTCAGATTAACCTCCAAAATACAAAAAGAGGTAACAAATTAGTCTCAAGTATTGTGATGTTAGGTGATTATGTTTCGTTTCTACCTAAAATAATTGCGAGCAACACTGATGCATCTCATGTCACCAAGAATTTCCATTTTATAAGCATCACAGTGAGGATTAGCTCAATAAAGCTAGAGAGTTTTAGCCAATTTCTCTGCAGAGCAATCATAACTTTACTGGATACGTTGAAAGTGTGCCAAGACTGGGTTTGACGTCTTGAATGAATTACAGGAAAGTTGCTGAGCATCCGTTTCTAAGGGGTGTCATGCTGCATCCAAGTAAGACAATAAATGAGGAAGAAAACATTTAAACAGTAGTAACATTTCCTTAAACAGCAGTGAGGAAAAACTTACTGCTTCTGTATCCTTCAGCTTGTTGCATTTAGCAGAAGCCATTTATGAATATAGGGGAAACAGTGGAGAAATGAATTAGCTTTCAATTAAACCATACCTGGGAAAAATCCTAGATATTCTGCAGGAAAGCAATGAAAACTACTGAAGATGGAAAAAGAGGAATTCTTTAGTTTAACAAGTCAAGATTTGCTTCCAAGAACTGAAATAAAGTTGCAGTTTGATCTGCTCCCATTAGATCACATGCCATAGTTTCTTATGAGGAAAAAAATCCAATTTATAAAATGTCAAAAATGGAAAAATGGCTTCAAGGTGACAATTTTAATAGAAGAAGAGAGAAATGAGACTTATTTCAGAACAGGGATATTTTTTATTGTCAAGGCCAAGAATTTCAATGCTGGACAGGAACGCAGGATATACAATCATTTTGTAGATTATGATTGTCCAAATGCTTCAAATCTCACCACAATTTTGAGATTAATAAAATACACACTGGATAGTTTCTTCTACAATTTCAAATCAATTAGATTTTTCATTGCCATGAGCAGGTAGTCCACCCTACTATGTGACAGAAACTTTTGGTTACATTTGTCTAGTGCTGCTTTATCTGCCCCGCAAAAATGTACAGATTAGTAGAGTACGGAGATGTTGTCACGGTTACCTTGATCAAGGATATCTAGCTGTTTATGAAGACATAAAAGAAAAAAGCCCTTTTACTGACTTACTCAAGTACAGTTTGAAAACTATGATATTCCTGGAAACTGTAAGTCTCTTAGACATTTCCCTTTGTAGATCTGCGGAGCCAGGTGGGCATTTTCTAAGAGGAAGACTGAAGGTTAAAAGTTCTTGTTGTATACACTCGGTGTCTGAGGACGGGCTGTAATTGAAAGTGGACGCTGTAGGCCCACTGATGTCAGGCGATATTGCCTGGTAAGATTCAAATAAACATTAACTACCTTCTGCAAAAACCCAGTCACACGAGTAAGACCACATAGCAGACCATTTACACGTACATGCAACAATGTAGACGTGCAGAGTTGAGACTACAGAGACCACAGAGGGAGACAGGAGGTGACAGCCATCTAATAACTTCATTTTTTTGTCTGAAGTATACCTTCTATTCTTTAAAGCTCTCAAGAAACCATTTTCCCTGATAGGTCTGATTGTAACTAACTCTCCATTTCCTCCTAATTTCTGTTTTGCAATGACTGGCTTTGACTTCCAGCCATTAATTCTTATTTCATTAATGTCAATTTCTCTGAGAGACAAAAATGTTTCTTAGACTTGTGTTTTTTTCTTTGGCACGTTTAGAGCACTGTGGACAAGTCCCTTTTCAGTCCTCCATTGACAGGTTAGAGCAAAACCAGCTCACCAATTGTGTGCACCCAAAGTGCCTACTTAGCAGCGCTGAGGTCCATGACAGATCCAGGACTGAGCAAGTAATTTACTGTAATGGTTGCAACGTGTTGTCCTGATGGACTTCCTAAGCTGTGAAGGTAAATGCCTTCTCCTTGGGCTCCATGCTCAGCACACACCACTGCTGTGCACTGCGCTAATCCTATTTGAACCCCAAAAGGCTGGGAGAAGGGAATATTCCTACATCTCTTCTCTCTCCAGCTTTTTGAAAAACGGTAACACCTTGCTGGGAAACATGGAGTGATGCACACGCAGCTATCTCCACTTGGTCTACTTCCTCGTTCCAGCCACGGGCAGGTATCCCCTTTTCCCAACCCATTTGTTGGAAACTTTGCAGGAAAGGAGAAGCACGATGGTTCTGCAGAGGCTATGCAGGCACTCTGAGGGGCCAGGAGCCAATTTCACAGAGACTGAAACTTGGACCACTGTCAAAGGGAGGCTGGAGCTGGGTCTCAGTGTCTTAGGGGAGGAAGACCTACTAAGGGTGCAGACTGTGAATCTTCTGAAGAAAACATCAGGGTTACCTTCTTCTTAACACTTTATAAACATCAGTTGATCCTTAAACTTGGATTAATCTTCTTCTCCTGGTGCTGATGCAATGCCCAAACTGCCGCGGAGGAAAAATGAGAAACCTGGGTGTACAGTGAGAGGTCATTTAGATTGCAGAGATTTGGACAAGGACCTCTCTTACAAAGGAAAGTTTAACAAGTACATAGCACAATAGGTATAAAACACTTGGCCCAGCTCCTTTATACGGTAGAGAGGTTTCCTCTTCTTTGAAAAGAACAGAAACCTGAACTGGAGAGAGAGACACCTGAAAAGAGAGGGAGATCAAGGGATAGCACTGACCGCCATCTGAATTCAGACTGATGAAACTATGGAGACGCCTTCCATCGTAGTAGATGGAAGTAGATGAGACTTCTGGCTTTCTACTCATCCAGTAGATGAGACTGAAAGCTTTCAAATGAACAGGTGCCAAGTTCTCAAATTCTCCCAGTGTTTGCATGGTGTCTTATGTTATTTACTTCGTCCACTAAAAGTCTTGGAATTAAGTGGCTGATAAAATCGGAATGTGAACTTTATAAATATGAAAGTGGGTTTGTAGCCATCAGGATTGCAGTATGAATGATAAGGGCTCAGATATCAGAAGGGATAACTGCCAGAGCAAGGTGCATTAATTAATGCATTTCCAGTACTGAAGAACAGAGGTGGTACAACCATCACTGTTCTAAACTGGAAACAGCTTTCTCGATTTCCTGCCTTTAAATTAAGGCAAAAGTTGAAAACTTTCTTTTGAAGAAAAAATGATCACTAACAAAAATTTGAAGTGACCTTAATCAGAGCACCTTTTTCTAACAAAATGCCTTTATAGGCAATAGAATAACATGGCTACACTGGTGGGTTTTCTTTCAAATTAAAATATATTTCAGAACAGAAAAACTGCAGTTATAGAAAACTGTACAAAGAAACTATCCATGCTTCTAACAATTTTAGTAAGTAAAAAAAAAGTAAACAAAGATGTGAAAAAGGACACAAAGAACATTTACTGACTTATGAAAGTGTTTGCATATACAAACTTATCCCCAAGTAAAATATAAAAATGTATATTGAATTTATGCAGATAAGCACTGGAAAGCCTGTCTAATTAAACATTTTACCTGGCCTTATAAAGGATACTAATAATTTATACTTTGAATAAGAATTAATTTTGCTGTACTTACTCCCTGAACGCCAAGTTCACAAATAGCTGCTGCCTAGATAAAAAGTCTCGTTACTTGCCGATGAATAATAAAGTGTTCTATCTTTAAACCCACGGATTCCTACTAAGATGACCCAGAAAAGGTATGCGGAGCATACTGGCCTGTAGCAACACTACTGGAACATGAGTCTCATCCTGTGCCTCTGTTCCTTTAAGGTCATGTATAAATTTGTTGCATCACGTCTAATGAGAGGATTTAAAAAAAAATAAAACCAAACTACACCCCTTCCCCCCGTTGTTTAAAGAGGAAGTTATTTTGCATCTCTTGTTGAGTGCAATTCCATATATATAATTTCTGACATACAGCAGAGCATTTGGAAATACAATACAAAAATTGTTATTAAACTAATTTTGGACTTGCCAAAATTATTCAATATGATTAAGCACTCCACCAAACCCCAATCAAAAAGAACAGCTCAGTTCTTTGTGACATCATTAAGATGTCGCCTATAAATAAAATTTGAAATTGTTAATGGCATTTCTGCACAAACTTTTGACATGGTATTTAGAACTGCTTTCTCTGGTGAGCTTTGCAAGTTTGCAAATACGGTATTTTCAAATAAAGTATTCATATTTTAGAGGCCAGGCTGTGTTCTGCCTAGTAAAAGCAGAATGGTAGCACAGGTCTTCTAAACTTAACTGGTAACTTCATTATATTGATTTAAAATTGGATCTGCATACAAAACCTATCAGTAACATATGACATCTAAACAACCGACAAAGTGATTAAGCAATCCCCATAGGTGTACTGTTCTGAGAGTAAATAAATAGCTTAAAATATGCATATCGATTTAAAAAATTGAAGATAGCATCCACAAAGTGAAGGCATAGCTAAGTTTCTACATTCCAATTCATAACTTTGTCATAGTCCTGAATTCGTTGTTTTATGTGAGAAAGCTTATTCTTTAGGTAGTCACAACGCTCCTTTTTCTCCAGAAATGCAGGATCCTGCCGAAAATACAAAAACCTTTACATCAATATATTAATCAATATATTACACTTTCAGACTCTTCCAAGAATAGTCTATTATCAATTATGTTCTTGATTAAGGACAGCATATAAATCTTTTGCAAAATCACCCTCTTTTTCCCTGGCCACAGTTTCTTATTTTCTGCTTCCCTTTCCTTCATGAAAGGCTGGAAAAAGAGATTCTGCTTTTACATGCTCTAGTTACTTAGTAAACAGAGCAGTTTTTAAACAGAAATCTGCAAATATAAATGACATCCTGCTACATATTTTAGATTCTATAGGTGTGTTGTGGTATGTCTAAGAAATCCTGCCCCCCTCCAAAAGCAATGAAATTTAACTAACATGGGCACAAAATTCAAATTCCATGGGAAAAAAAAAAAAAGTACTTGTAATGTATTACGTTTTTAATGGAACACAGGTACACATTTACTGCCTGCATTTGAAAATGACGAAGTGAAACCTCTGATTACATTGAAAATGACTTTCTGAGAGTTTAAGTTCCATGCCACAAAGAAAATAGAAAACTTCTTTTCAAGGGTAAGACTATGTTTTCTGTTGTTAACTTATCTGTTGGCTGTGTCAGTGAGTGAATATAAATTAACTGAATCCCAGAAAAATAACCAGTCTTCTGAATGCAGAACGCTAAGAGATGAGACGTACTCCCAGAACATGAAAACGCTTAACTGTTGGGTTTTCTTTTCTGGCTAATAAAATCATTATTCTCAAAACAGGTTGTTGGCGTGAGTGGAGTGGGTTGTGTCCTAACTTTGCCAAAGTTTTAAAACAAAAAATACACAAAGTCCTGTAGTGCTATGGATACCTTGAGCTAGCGAATTGTATCTAGTGTCAGACATGTTTGCTACCCACACTCTCTTTGCTACTCATTAGATTCACTAGCAATGTAAAGCTGAAAACACTTACATTTTTCTTCTTCTTGTACTCTTGCAGAACTTTTGATATCCTTTCCTGTTCCTAATGAGAGAGACCACGCATTTTTAAACACTTTATCCTCCGTATCTTCATGTAAATTCTACAAAATACTTGTGAGAAGTAAAATTCTTACTTGAACAATCCATTCTAGTTGTAACATTTTAGTTGTAAATCTTGTACTTGACACATAGTGGAGGTACATAAACTGTAACTCACTCAAACTTGAAAGCTACTAGCGTGAAAAAAAAACACAAAACAAAAACAAACCAGGAAAATACGTATACAACTTAACTGCAACTTGGTATCCTTGACTGATGACCAAACAAGAAAGAACATATTTGGGGAAACTTTCTCTCCCACCAAGTCAATGCCAGCATGACAAGACATTGTGCCCTAGCTAAAGACAATCAGAAACTGCCTAATACCACGCCTGTCTTCCATAAGCCCATTTCACAGGTACTTACATATATGCTTTCTGGATGGTGAGGAAGCTGCCTCATCAATGCATCCAGCTCATCAAACTTTTTTAATACAGCATGAACTTCCACAGACAGTTCTTTATACTCAGCAAACTGGTCATTGAATACTGCTTTGTATCGGTCTCGCATTTCATTTGTTTGAATCGCTGGGTATTTCCTTAAAAAAAAATTTCAAAGGCTAATTTTAGAGATAGGATTTCAACAAACACATGGACCCTTCACCTTGATAGTATATATTTCTGTAGTGTTTGCTAATTTCATAACCTGCTGAATGTAAAGCATTGAAATCACAGAATGACAGAATGGTTGAGGTTGGAAAGGATCTCTGGAGGTTACCTGGTCTAATCCCCCTGCTCGAGCAGGGCCACCCAGACCAGGCTGCCCAGGACTGTGTCCAGATGGCTTCTGAATATCTCCAAGGATGGAAACTCCACCACCTCTCTGAACAACCTATGCTAGCCCCATCGTGAAAAAGATTTTCCTAATAATCAGGTGGAACCTCCTGTGTTTCAGTTTGTGCCCTAGTCTACAGCAAATAGCATAAAAATTAATTTATGATCTCATACTTCACCATGGAAAGGCCTACCCTTTCAAAGGGAGCATGTTACAGATTTAGCACTTAGAAAGTACAAGAGTAGTCAAATTTCAGGGGCTAAAAAGAAAAGTATTTTCCTAAGATTTTTTTTTTTTTTCTAAGTTGTCTGTGTGGTGGACTTCTGTTCCTTTGGCAGTTATTGTACTTGCTAGATTATAAAATTCTGCTTTAACATTTGAGGTTTGGGTGTTTTTTTTAAACTTAAGATTCTTTATTTATATTACTGGTTCTATACTATTGATACCAGCCCCCATTCTCTCTATTTTTCACATGAACTTAATAAAAAATTATGAGTTCCCATAACAAATGCACAGCAGAGAAACCACGAGTATATATATGAGCAATGCTGAGTGAAAAACATCATCCAAGTATTCTCCATTAAGCTTGTTTATCAAAGTCAAGTCACTTACGCTAAGTAGTCTGGCATCACTATAGGTTTAGGAATGTGGCCTGCAGGTATATGACCATTAAGTAGTTCTGGTTTTCTTTCCACTGATTTAAGTTGCCTGTAAGTGACCTCTTCTTCTCTTGGTCTGTCATCACTTTCATACTGTTAAAAAAAAAAAAAGTTCTTAATGAAGTCAGTTATACTTCAAATGCAATATATATAAACCACAAAACACTCAACTCATATATATATATATGAGTTGGGAAGCAAATCACAGAAGCATCAGAAGCAAATCACAGATATTCCCTACAACCCTTATTGTAATTAGAAAATTAGTAAAGCATTACAGTAATGTTTCTCACACAGTACCCATCTTCATTTTTTCCTAACACCAGTACCAGTGACAGACAAATGCTTCTTGGAGTTTGGAAAGATTTGTCTTGTATGTCTTAAAAAAATAATTCATGGAAGTTTCCTTGGATATCCATCTAATTTGTGAATGAACAGGAATCACTCAGTTCCCTGGAGTTCTCTTTTCCCCTTGTTTCCTATTGCATACCTTGCAATTTATCCCTTGATCCGGAAATAAAAGTGCACGGAGTCTTGTTGGAACATATTAAAAAAGGTGATCCAGTACTGAAGCGACAGAGAAAACTGTGGCAGGAGATTCACAGTATCTAACAGGAGGCATTTAAGACTGAAATAAAAGCACCATAAATCCTCTGGGAATCATCAGCCTCTGCTGTTAAGATCCTACACAATCTTTGTAGTGTATGCAACCGCACCTTTCTGCAGCACAAGCGTCAAAGTTGCTGATACTTCCAAACTGGCAGGGTGTGATAGTTTGATGTGTGTGGGGGGGTGTTCTGGTGGCAGGGGAAGGGATTTGCTCCCCGACCACCAGACCTGGGTCCCATCCCCCTCCGGGGGGTTGAGCCAAATCGGCGCCTCTGCGGATTGCCCTATTTAAGTTGAGACAAAGGGATGGGAGGGGCGGGCTTTTTGCGGTCTTTTGCCCAGGAACGACAAGAGGGGAGGAGGGCACTGCCCTCGCTCCCGGCCGGGCGGCTGCTCGGGCGACTCGGGAAGCACCCCGTTCCTGAGGTGCCCGCCGGGCCGAGCTCCCCCAGAGAGGATTAAGATCTAAGAGAAAACAACCACAACGACCAGGTCAGTCAAGATGGAGCAGGAGGAGGGGTACTGGAGCTGAGGTTTCCCTTGCAAATCGGTGTGAAGATGGCAGGCGGCCCCCATGCAGCCAGGGTGTACTCGGCGGAGCAGAGACCCACTTGTGGCCCGTGGAGAAACCCACGTCGGGGAAGAGATGCCTGAGCCCAGGAGAGGTCGTGGAGCATGGGATGCACGATGAGGTACTGTTAATAATGGGCATGGAATGCACAATGAGGTCGTGGAGGCATTTGGAGTCCGTGGGACGACCCACGCCGAC